CTTGTCAGATATGATGGTAAACCCATTGTCAGGATATAAGTTTTTACCATCCACTTATGTTTAGGCTTCTCAACAGAACAATATATCTTCCAGTTGCAATCTTCATGCCGACAAACAACTGAAGCTTTGTATTACCCCATCTAGACAACTTCACATCGTAATTAGTTTTCAACACATACCTCAACAATTGATCCTTGAACTCCTCCCCACTATTAAAGGTCTGTTGTTTCCATAAATATGGAGGCTTATCTTTCGAGTAGCTGGTTATGCTCACTGCTCTTTCCTCTCGGTGGAAAGCTTCCCATTCATCATTTGTGTCAAGTGCAGCGTCAGGATAATCATCATCAATACACTGTCTCTCAAACTCTGGATCATCATCACCAGCATCCGCAGCAGCAGCTCCTTCACCCTCCTCATTAACATTACTAGCATCCGAGGCAGCAGCTCCTTCACCCTCATTAACATTACTAGCATCCGCAACAGCAGTGTGGACTTCATCAAACAAAGCTTGCAATCTAGGATCATCAGATGCCACTTCTTCAATTGGATCTTCACCCTTTTCATCAGCTGGACCTTGTATTTCAACATGGTCCTCATCATCATCTTCTTCTTCATGTTCCCCGACACCTGCTTGATGAATGTATATGTCAACCTCACCTGTGGTCATTCCTTCCAAACACATCTGCCTAATCTGGGCATCTTTATCGTCATGGATAAGCCTTGCTGAACCAATATCTTCATGTCGAAGCTTATACCATACCTTATCCACCAACCCAGAAATCCCATTTTGTTCACAAAATTCGTCAAAGATGGACCAAGTCACATAATCAGGGTCCATGACCATGTCTTCCTTCACTAAACCACCTCTGTAATCAAAGACATCTTCTTTCACAGAACCATATCCAGCATAATGCATATTGACTTTCATAATGTCACTGCAATCAGAGAACAACATTATATTAGTCAAATTCGAAACGGGAACACAACAAAGTGTCGATTTTGGAACCCAAATCGATTCCCCATTTCGATTTCACAAAATATAAACCCTAAAAATCGAGTATCGAAACACATACCTCATTGTCGTCGTCGATTCAGACAAACGCTCGGAGGCCTGAAACACTCGGAGGCCAAGCTGCGTTAGCCGTAATCGTCGTCGTCTCTCTTCCCGAGTTTATCTCTTCTCTTTTCTTCGATTTTGAAACCCTAACCTCCTCTCTCTGATTCGCGTTTTCTGGATCGAAGATGGTAGCTTCTGGAAAATCCGAACTTTCCTTGCCCAATTTGGCCTACAGTGCCTTCGATTGAAAACCCTCAAATCGATTTGGGAATTCTCAGAAACCCTAACCCTATTTCGATTTAGGAAAAAGCTCGAGGGATAACAAGTTGCGAAAGGGGTAAAAGTGAGTTTTAACCCACATTGATTAGTCACGTGTTAGTATAATTAACAGTGTTTACGATTTCGTCAATGGCCGTTAACGGCGTTTCAACATCGGGAAGGAAAACGGAGAAAACAAATACGTCAAGGTTTTTAATACAACTCAAGAATAAGCTGGGTTTTATTCCGGCAACGAAAAAAGTTTGGGAAGGTTTCTGGCAAATATTAAATAGTTGGGGTTTTTTTAGGGAATTTTCTCAATCTTAATTAGTTTTTTTTTTTTTTGCTCCTATCCAATTTGTATACTCTGTTATTGCATTTATGGAAGGTCTCTTATCATTCTTTTTAAAAAATTGTATTCTTACATTTTCAGATAAATCAAATGATATGAAGAAACTGATTCGCTTTTAGTCCGAAAAGTTTTTGATTTTTGACTTTGCTAAGACAGAGAATCCATATTTTTACAAATCGATCGTGTAGGAAACTAATTGAAGTTCAAAGAATTTGGAGATAACGTCCAAATTCGAAGTGTTGAGAGACATTCAAAGAGAACATGATTAATTTATCCTTTTTCAACTTTTTCAAAGCCACATACAATTAGACCTATTTCTCTAAAACGGAATTACAAATTCTGGTCTCATTCCAACAACCAGACACAGAAAAACATATTATATCATAACTACGTTGATTATGTTTAGTTCAAATATTAAAATCATCCTAGTTGTTCATCATTTAAATTTAAATTTGTGATGCCTACTACTAATGCCGAATTATAATAATGATGAAAAAATATATTACTTTTGCAATTTTACAAGTTTTTAAATGTGAAAATATTTAATTTTTTTTTTTCCATTTAGACATGATCATTTTATTTCTCGAAAGTGATTTTGTTATATAAACGACGAATGTATTAAAAATATAATTGAAAAAAAATCGTAAAATTCATAAATTTACTAAGTTTAATTAATCTCTTAGCATTGTATGATTATTTGTGGAAACGTATTCAGCTATTGTGTTCCATCTATTCAATCATTTTATTATTCCATTCATAGTCAAATCCCAATGTTTCACAAAACCACCTAATCAAATTTGGATCTCGAACCAACCTTCCAATACATGACCAAGACCATAAGAAAATAAAAATTCCACCAACTCTTTTTTTTTTTTGGTCTTAACGTGAACCAGAACCACCAACTCTTTAGTTGGTCAAAATTATTATTTGGACTTTTTAAAAACTCCAAACTAGTAAAGGATAAATGAAAGTTTCCAGGTTCACCAACCTAGACGTTTGTCTCCTCTCCTGTCCATAGATTCATACATACAAGACCACTCCACAAGACCTCATCCTTCCACAATGGATTCTTCATCTTCAGTAAAAATCGTCTCGAAATGCTTCGTGAAACCCAAAACCATACCAGAAGAATCAAAGCAACCATACTATTTATCTCCATGGGACTACGCAATGCTCTCTGTTCAATACATCCAAAAAGGTCTTCTCTTTCACAAGCCATCACTTGACTCCATTGACACTTTGCTTGAGAAGCTAAGAGAGTCTCTGGCTGTCACACTAGTCCATTTCTACCCTCTCGCGGGTCGTCTCTCGTCGTTGACAACCGAAAATCCGAAATCTTACTCTGTTTTTGTTGATTGTAACGATAGCCCTGGCGCAGGGTTTATCTACGCGACCTCAGATTTATGTGTAGCGGACATTGTCGGTGCAAAGTATGTTCCTTCGATTGTTCATTCTTTCTTTGACCATCACAGAGTTGTGAATCATGATGGTCACACCCTGAGCCTCTTATCAGTCCAGGTTTGTTATTTATCCATTTTTGAAGGATGTTTATGTTTCTAGATTTATTTAGATTTACCATATATGGAAACTAAATCAAATAGTTCGGTTTGGTTTAATACGCTTTCAACATCAGTTTTAGTTCAGATTTAGTTTCTAAGATATATGTTTCTGTCAAAGAAAATTGAGGTTTGAATTTGTTTATTTTCTTTTTTTTTGGTATGGTTTGGTTGGACTAAATTAAACGGATGTGCTCACTTGTGTAGGTGACAGAATTGGTAGATGGAATTTTCATAGGACTGTCTATGAACCATGTGATGGAGACGGTACTGAATTGGTAGATGGAATTTCATAGGACTGTCTATGAACCATGTGATGGGAGACGGTACTGCCTTCTGGAAGTCTTTACCGCTTGGTCCGAAATCTTCCAAGGACAAGAGAGCAACAAAAACGATGACTTGTGTCTTAAGAATCCACCGGTCTTAAAGCGTTACATCCCTGAAGGATACGGTCCTCTCTTCAGCCTTCCCTATAGTCATGCTGATGAATTTATCAGAACCTACGAATCTCCAGTTCTCAAGGAAAGAATGTTCTGTTTCTCATCAGAAACCATAAGATTGCTTAAAGCAAAGGTCAACCAAATATGCGGAACTACCTCCATTTCATCTTTCCAGTCGCTAACCGCGGTTATATGGAGATGCATAACAAGGGCACGGAGATTACCCCTCGACCGAGAAACAAGTTGTAGAATTGCTGCTGACAACAGAGGAAGAATGTATCCACCGCTTCACAAGGAGTACTTTGGAAACTGCCTCTCTTCTTTGAGAACGGCTGCAAAAGCTGGTGAGCTGATGGAGAATGATCTTGGATTTGCTGCTTTGAAAGTGCATCAAGCGGTAGCTGAACATACTAGTGAAAAAGTATCTCAAATGATTGATCAATGGTTAAAGTCCCCTTTCATTTACCATATTGATCGGCTTTTTGAACCGATGAGCGTTGTGATGGGAAGCTCACCGAGGTTTAACAAGTATGGTTGTGAATTTGGGATGGGAAAAGGAGTGACACTTAGAAGTGGCTACGCGCATAAGTTTGATGGAAAAGTATCTGCTTACCCGGGAAGAGAAGGAGGGGGAAGTATAGATTTGGAGGTATGTCTTGTTCCCGAGTTTATGGAAGCTTTGGAATTAGATGAAGAGTTTATGTCACTTGTTTCTCTTTAAAAAATTACCAATTTCTTCCATGTTTCTCAACATTTTATATGTGTCTTTCATTTGCTATTCTCCTCAATTTGTTTATCAACATTTTTATTTTACCTTAAGCCTTTTTATTGTTCATTGATAAATTCTAGAGATTGCGGCGCAAAAATTGGCAATAATGCGTTTTTGCTTGATGTAATGTTTTTTCTTGGAGATCTGCAAAATCAAGTAACTTTTAGTATATCAGGTACCTGCAAAAATGTGAGAAGTCTGGCACATAGTTTAAGGCTACATGTGAGTGATTTAATCCAAACATGGGAAGACGTAGGAACATTGTCTCGAACTCTTCGGTCCCATTTAAAAAAAATTGCAAATGCTATGCAATGAAATTGTAGGCTAACATCAGCAAAAACACCAAAGCTACATGAGGCCATTAGTTTCTTATTTAGTGAATAGTCACAACAACAATCCATTCCAGCTCACAACAACAACAACAACAAAAATCCAAAAACAATAATCAAATAGATGAAATTCAAACTCGACCATTGCCACATCTTCAAGTATTGGGTTCTAATACCCATGGAGGGCATCTGAGTTTACTCCAAAAGTACCTCCTAGAATGAAGCCGTGCATAGCAGTAATAAGAACAATAGCATATGTTGTTATAATCCTTAACAAAGAAGGGACCTAGGCAACGACATTGACAATTTACGCAAAGTGGTCGTGAAGATGTATTGTTTGGCAGCAGTTCAACACCGTCATTGATTTGTTCTCCTGTTTTGGCGAACCTGATATCCCAAACTACACAAAAAATATGTAAAGTAACCCCGCAATCTTTACAAGTGTAGAACCAAGTCTTTAGATTGATTTCTCTTTCGCAAATATCACACCAACATTTGCCGCTTGCTTTTTCATCACCATAACAAAGAGTGAGTGGATGATCATCATACCTGGGAAGGCTTACACTCAATGGTAGAGTGGCACAACGAAAATCCAAAAAGTAATTGCATTTGATACAACCTATAGCGTATTCTTTTTCAACGATACCACAGCCCTTGCAAGTCTTCACATTACCGCGTCCAAGTTTAAGGAAGAGTAAATGATGATCATGACTTCCATGGAAAAAAGGAACAGTAATCGAACTGCATATTAAGTCAAAGAACTTTTCTCGATATGTAGTCGTAGAGTAGATGAATCCTTTGCAAAAAACTTGTCGACAAGCATTGCAAGTTTCTGTGTTGCGTTGGTTTTGGAGGCAAAGAACGAGATGTACTGGGCTCAGAAAATGTCGTTTCTTCTTAGAAATATTCGCACATGTTTCGTGGAGAATGAAACTGCAAGATGATTCTGAACAGTTGTAGAATGTATCAGAACCGATGGGACAAACACATGCTACACACAAGACGCTCTTCTTCAAAGCAATACCGTCTTTGCTCAAGTTATGTTCATGAGTGAAATGAGTGATGGTGTTGTCATCATTCTTCCTAAATGGCGTGATATCTTCAATTTCTTCAGGTTTTCCATCAAGCTCTCTCATATCCCATACGTCTCTTCTTGTTGCACATAGTGAATGAATAGCATAATGTGGACAAATGGAACAAGAATAAGCCCCATATGACCAATCAATTTCTTCCCAACAAACTCCACATCTCCATTCTCCAGGACCAAGAGAATACTTATACGAAACGCGGTGGTCATGGTGGTTGACGTTAATGACACGAGGTAATTGAGCACACTCTTGATGGAAGACCATGAAATCACATTGAACACATACATAAGGAGCACGATCGCCTTTCATCCCACAAGCATCACAAACGAAGGAGATCAATCTTGGCATGAGTTTGAGTGTATGCTCATGGACCTTCACATTTGGAAGAGCAACTGGTGTGGGTTCTCTAACCGCACAACGCATATCCAAGTTGAACTTACAAATATCACAATGATATAGTAAGTTCCCAGTAGCATGTCCACATATATGACATTTTAAGTTTGTGTACCTTGGAGCTCCATTGCTGAGAAGCTTAAGAGGGTGTCTGAAATGAGAAGGGTGAGTAATCTCTGGTGAGTCAAATACAGAGACACATCTCTCATGAATCATGAACCGGCAAAGAGGACAGCAATAGTCTATGCCCGATTCATTACAAAAGTCACAAAACATATTACTCCCGCGTTGTTCAACCATGATTAGTACATATGTGATCAATTATGCAATCAATATCCAAATTGAGTTTACAATCAGAGCAATGATAAAGAAGGCGCTTGGTCTTTTTACCGCAGAGATGGCATTTTTGGTCGGTGTGATCAGGAGCTCCTGTTGTGAGAAGCTTAAGACAATGTCCATCATGCGAAGGATGGTCGAATATCTCTTGTATGTCGAACATAAATACACATTTCTTGTGAACAATAAACTTGCATTCACCACATGAGAAGACATCCCCATACGATCGATCGCAAGCATCGCATTCCAAACCATCACGATGTTTAATGATTGATACGAGATCCTCGTGTCCTTCGAAGAATAAACTCATGGCGGTTGCGATTCGCAGAGGTGGAGAGACTGCAAAATAGTGTATGGTTTTGTATAATAATGGATCAATATAGTTTTTTCTCTCTATACTCTAGTTATATCAATGCTACTTGTTATTATATTATCATATAGACATTAGTATTGATGTCGACAAATCTATAATATAATACAAGTATACAACTAGTGGGCACGTTGTTTGTTTAATTTCAACGCTAACATCGATTGTCCCGCTCAAGTTTTGTCGCCATGTTAGTACCTTGACGTCTTTATTTCTTATCTTTGCTCTTCTAACTTTCAAAAGCCAAGTTTTCTTCTTCTTCTTCTTATCTTTTTATTAAATAACAGAAAATTATTACCTTGAATATATTAAAAAAAAAAGAATATGTAAAAAAAAAAAGTGATTTCATTATGGCAGCTCAGATTGGCAACGGTGCGGTGACCAAACTCGCAGGTTACCATTCAAAACAAAATTAATAATAGAGCTTGTGGCACATTGGGGCACTTTTCAAGTTTTTATAAGCATATGGGACACTTTGGTGGGAGTAGGCATTTTTTAAGTTTTTTTCACTATATAACAAAAATTAATACAATTTTGCCCTCAGATTTCCTACAAACGTTTAACTAAAACTAGGTGATTGCCCGCGCACATGCGCGGGAAGAATGTTGTATGAATGGTAAAATCATGTGAAATAAGGGATTGTTTAGGTGTTACTTGGTAGTGTAAGAAAAATATGGTAAATTGTTTAGGATTTAGTGTGGTAAAATTATGGAAAATGATGAAATTTAAAAAATTCAATAATATTATAAATGCTAAAAAAATAATAATAAATCATCTTTTAAAATCATTCACCAACAAAATAAGAAATCAACGAACATCATCACTCCATGGCATTCTCCTTCCGTGAGATGATCGGTACTTGGTCATTTTCAGGATTCCTGACATCCGATTTAGAACACCATAAACAGTGAATGTCCAGTCGCCAACTTTAGAGTTTTGATTGTAAACGGAAAAAAAAATACTTACCAACAAAGCATCTCGTCGGTAATACTGAGATCCGGATTCAACATAATCCTCGTACTTCCGGTAACATTGGTACATCTCCACCTATGTTCCTGTGATAGCTCTAATTTCACAAACTTGATAATACATATCACTGTGTTACGTGAACGATGCTTCCATAAGTCATAGAACTCGACTGCAAGGTCACCCGTTAAACGACACTCTAGATGGATACACCTAATTTTAAGATTTGAAGAAGTCATAAGACTTTATATTCTGGTTTAAATCTTTAAAAGAATAGTGACTTACTCAGTATCACGTAAATCAAAGTACAGCTCAAAATATCCTCCTTGAGAATGTTCCACGCAAGGAACAAAAACCAACTCTCTCATGTTGACAATTTTGCCAACAACATCTATGAAACACACACATGAATAATACAGTCAGAACATGAACCGCAAATAAACTCCAAAAGCACAAATAAATTTACAAATTAGGCTTACCAACGCAAATATTCGGATTAACAATACCACTCAATATACTCACAAACTCAGTTAGATTGAAATAGGTTCTACTGGAGCACATATTAATACTTTGCACTAAAGTGTCCGAACGAAACACAATCTTGAATCTATGCGGTACTGGTCTCAATATGCTGTTAACCCGTGATACATCAAAATTTTTAATGCTCACCCACTCATCGATTATCAATCTTGAAAGATAATTATCAATTAATTCATCACGAACAACGGCTTGGATTTGGGTGAACTGCAAATAAAACGTTAAAGACAAAACCAATTCAATTTAATATCGAAAACATGTATAGAAGGTAAGTTATCAAAAAACTAACATGCTCGTCACCCAAAATCATATTGAGCTCTCTACCCGTGCCACGCGAAACAGACCAACAATTCAAAATCTTCACCGAGACAGACCACTCACCCATGTTAGGGTTAAGAGACGCAATACGAAAATAACCACCATCACATGGATCAGAGGTAAAAGATATCATTGTAGAACGCATATAAAAAGATTTCTACGTTTGTCAATAGTTTTTTCGTGAGCTTGTAGATAACCGTCAATTTTGCTCCTTTTTCGTTATCATTGTTATAGCCAAGCTCATCAATCATCAAACGATTTCTAGGTTTATAAAGATCTCTTTCATTAGACTGTAGAAAGCCGTCAATTTTGGTTCTCTTGTTTTGTTTTCATGATTATAGCCAAACACATCAATGAGCAAATAATTTCTACGTTT